GTGTGACTCAATTATCGAGCTGACAGCTAGCCTAAGTGGAATTGAATTTGATAGAGAGATATAAAGAAGCAAAAAGAGGGAGAGAGAGAAAATTGTAAACGCAGAGAGTAGATAGATCAAGAGAAAGAGAGAGAGAGAGGAGGAGAACACTCTCTTTATAAGTCGAATATGGAAAGAGTAAAAACAAAGAGAAATTTCAAATCAAAATAAAAGAATCTTTTATAAAAATAGGAGAGAGATTGCAGATAAAAAATACAGAGAGATCTTTCTGCCTCTCTTGAAGAGAGTGAAAAAGAGACCGCATATAGAGCATAGCAAATTCATTGACGCTTGTTGCACGACAGATATAGATCATGTTGAATGTTTCGAAATAGGAAATATACTGCACACGAGTTTTCGAAACGTTTTTGTACCTTTTTTCTTATTTGCTTATATGCAGTCTGCATAGATATATGTACGATAGATATGGTCAGGCATTATGAGATATGTTAAGAATATTTAAGATAAGTAATATTTTTGAATGGGAAGAAAGACAATATGTTAATATGAATATGCAAATTTGTATGTCACTTTTTTCAAATTAAATATTCCAGGGTAAATTAAAAGATAACTTTTTTTAATCCATTTAATTCAATTCACTTAATTCATTCATATATTTACCTATATATGTATTTGCATATGTACAAACGCATTTTGCAACACATTTTCTATAGCTTAAACAGACTTTTCTATATTCTTTTGACTCGATTTTTTATTAAACAATATTAAATAAATACGTTAATAAAAATTACTATCAATACATAAAATATATATTAATATGTACATTTTTTCATCATTTATATATTATTTTAATTATTTATATATTATTTTTTTATTATATGCTTTAAATATTCTTTTATAATTTCAGTGCATTTGCATCTTTTTTGTATATTATATATTTTGCATCTTGACCACCGCATTTTCCACCTGTTCCTCGTCCCGCTGTTCTGTTGGCAGCTGCTTGAGGCAGCTGCCCTGGGAGCCAGCTAATACACTCAAATACACATGTACACACACATACACAGCCACTCACACGCACACTTAAACGTGCGCACTGAACTATTTTTAAACACTTCAATTTCTTTGCCCAAAAAAAAAAGGTTTTTTTTTGCGTTTATTTTTGCACAATTTGATTTAAATATTTTTTTTTGCTTGTTTTCCTTTTGCTGGGTGTATTAGAAATAAAATTGGAAAATTCAATTTGCGTGTTGAAATTTTGGTTTTTATTTATTGGAAAATTGTGAAATGTTTTGAACTTTTAGTCAAAGAGTTTATCGATTCCGTTTGAATTTAAATTTAGTTGTGTTTATTTATAGCACACACTTTTTGTCCGCTTCTTGCTTTATTTTTTAAATATATATTCTGCATATATACATATATACATACATATATCTTTAGTTTATTAGCTATATTTGTTAATGAACTTTCTTTTTTTCTTTCTTTGGTCTCATCTCACTTACATAATACGAATTTACTTGCCACGTCGCGCCGCACTCAAAAAATTCTGCTAGCTGGTTAGCCTTATATATATATATATATATACTATATATATATTTTTATATATATATACAATATATATATATATATATAGTACTATGTGTAGCCGCTCGACATGAAATAGTATTTTTTTATATATTTATTTTTTGCTACGGTCTCGTTCGGCGATCGTCTCCCAACAAACTGATTTGTCTATTCGCCATCTAAACAACATTTTCCCCCAGTTTTCAGAGACGTTGTCGCCGCAATAATTTTCTTGCTCAATGTGTCTCTTTCATCAGCGCTTTTTTTTTTTTTTTGTTGATTTCTCTTGATTTTATAAATACTACAAAGCAAATGTATGGACAGTCGCGCTCATCTCCCGCATGTACTCAAAGTGTGTGAGTAAGTTTTTGTCTTGTTTTCCATTTTTCCCTTCTGTTGTTAAGCATTTTGTTGGCTGCATTTTCTGTTGCATTTAGTCATATAATTAATGGATTTTGCTGTAACTTATGTTGTATATTTTTATTTGTTTATTACTCTATTATAAAAATAAATAAAACGAAACTTTACTCACAATTCTGATTTATATAAATGTAGTCAAGTACTCATTAAATCATAAAAATATTTGGCTCAATATAAATACATTTTTTATCATTTTCATATCTAATCATTAAAGGTTATTAAATACCTACAATACATATAAAAGCAGAAATTCAACAAATAATATTTAAATTATAGAAATAAAAATACAAATATATCGTAAAAATCTTTGATGTAATTTATGAATACCCTTCCCATAGTAAATATGTTTTCGCCTAATTAAAAAGCATTCCTTTAAAATGAATTATGGTTTTATTGGGAATCAAATAATAAATATATGTGAGCCCCTAGAGTCATGTCTTACCTTGACTTCGTTCTTGTTTATATCATTTGTTGCATTTTTTTTTTATTTTTATATTAATATTGTTGTATATTGTACATTTTTTAAATTTAGAAATCCATAGGAGAGCACAATAAGTTCAGGAATTGTAAATACAATAAATATTATGCTAGCACGCTTCTGAAGCGCCACCTGCCGGCAGAGTGAGCACAAATCAAAAATAAAGAAAACAACAACACATAAAATGCAATCAACCATTGTTTGTGTGTGTACAAATAATATTTATTTATAAAATTACGATAAGCAATTTCCACTGCGAATTATTCTCATTATTATTAGCGGCTCGCGACAGGCTTCCAATTTGAGTGGGCGCAACATGTGGTATGAGCAATGTCAATCAAATGTATATATATTCCACTCATACTAATAATATACTATATGTGTGTGTGTGGGTGTACGGTAATAAGTGCAAATTGAGCTAACTGTAATTGACATGCAAAACGGATTTGCCAAAGAGCTCAAGTCGAAGACGAAGCAGCAGCATACAAAGCCAGAAGCCCAATAATTGCAAGCACGCATTTTGTGATAAGTCTGCACTCTTCACTCCTATAAAAGCCTTGGCCTCTGGCTATGCCTTTGCCCGTGACGCTGCCCGTGCTGCTGCTTTTACCTCTCTCCGAGACCTCTGCCTGTACTGCTGCCAATACCTCTGCCGTGGCCTCTGACTCTGGCAGTGGCTGCCTCCGTCTCTTCCTCTTCCTCTGCCACTGCTCGTGCTCTGCCTCTGCCTTCGCTGGCAGCAACCACCATCATCACCAACGCATTGACTTGGACTCGACCTTGCCCGCTGCTGATGTCGGCGCATTACGTCGACGCCGACTGCGTCTTTAAATCGATGCCTTGGCCGAACGCTTTACAGCTGTTTAGCAGCCGAGGCACACGACGCGTCGTGACGTGTGTTGCGTTCGGCTTGCGCCAGCTGTTCGTAAACAAACAAAATGCCGGCTGTTGTTAGTGTTGTTATCGTTGTTGGCAGCGTGAAAGCTTTTTGAAAGCTTGCTAGAAATGTTTTTGTCGCATGCAAGAATCGTGGCGATTCACACGCGTACATTCTTAAAGCGAAAAACCAATTTTTCGGCTGCATTTGCGCAGCGCGCGTTGCAGGAAAAGCAAGTGAAACGCGTGTGGAAAACTTAACGATTTTCACGGCACCCTCGAAAACCGCACGTGCCCCTTCCGCTGAGTAAAAAGAGGAAAAAACTTGTTAAATGTGTGCGCTTTAGTATAATATTAAAGTAGTTAATATATAGTGTGGTATATGCATATATTTGTGTGTATATATGTATATGTATAGGTGTTGTAATTGAAATTGTGCCTTTAATCGTGTCCCGTGCGCATAGTTTCATTTGCGTAATGCCCATAGACAATACAAATTCAAAGCACAATTTAATTTAATATATATACTAGGTGCGTTTCTAAGTTAAGTGTGATTGAAAATGGAAACGGAAATGGAAACGAAATGCCTTGAGAAATATAAATTTTGAAAATCCATAAAAAAATTAAAAAAAAAAAAAAAATGCCTTTAAGAAAGATAATAAGTATTATTAAATTGAATATATTATTAATTGAATAATAAAAATAGATTAGAACAAACACTTATAATACAAAAATCAAGATACTCACAAGTTTATAAAGTGTTTATAAAAAAAAATTTAATTACATATTAAAAAAACACCCAAACTTATCAAAAAATAATAAAAAAAATAAAAATAAAAATATAAGAAGAAACTAATAACAATTTGATCAACATAATTATAAAACGAACTGTTTTTAAAAGTTTATAGAATATATAAATCAATAAAAAAAATACTTATAAAATATATAGAGCATTAAGTAAATTAAAAATAAGAGAAATTAGATAAAAATATTATAGTGTTTTAAATTTCACTTGAAAAGCTTTAAAAACAAATATAAATCAGGAAAATATCTTTAAAATGTTTGAAAAAGTAAATAATCAAAAAATATATATAAAAAAAATATATACATATATTTATTTATTTTAACATTAATAAAATAACTATAAGATAAATGTATGACGTTAGGCAATTAAAAAAATAAATAAATAAACACATTTACCAATAATACAAAATAACCGAAAGAGAAAGAGAAACTCTTGGACGCTTCATATGTGGAAAACCGTTTAATTGTCCAACAGCTGCATAAATGTAAAACTAAACCAACTACAAAGATTATTTCTTGTCGCAGCGAGATTAAAAAATAATATCTTGATAAAACATAGCAAAGCTAGCCGAGAATAAGAAGACGAAAAGCTGCTGCTGCTTAGGGCGATGTCGAGACGAATTGCTTTGTGCTATATACGAAAAATCGATAGTTGAAGCCGCAGTCGCTGCCACCGTCACCGTCGCCGTCGACGTTGCAGTCGACATCAACGTCAACGGTCAGAGGCAAACGAGACGCAAAACGCTTATTAAATGAGGGCTAAAAATAACCTAAGCAACAACAACAGCAACAACAACAACAACTAGGACTATTAGACAAAGCAACTAGCTAAACGTAACAAACATGGTCGATGCTAAGCCACCGCCCACTCGCACGCCCACACCGGGCACCCCGCCGGCGGCATTTGCCGGTGAAAGATCGAAAATTAAATTATTTATGGAACGAACGCCGAGCATCGGAGCACTCAAGTCGAAATTTTTGACAGTGTTGGGCAACAGCAACGAGCTGCTCAATGGCATATCGAATAAGGTAAGGCCTTGATAATGAAACCGCTCTCTGTCAGTCTGTCTGTGTGAGTGGGTGGGAACAGAACAGGGAATAGCAATAGCAATAACAATAACAGCAGACATTGTGATAGTTTTTTTGTTTTTGCTGCTGCATTCGTTTCGTTTGACCTTCACTTGGCCCGGATATTATTGTTGGGGTAGCTGCTGGGCTGCTGCTGTTGCAGCACCAGCTGCAGCTTGGGGGTTGGCCTCAGCTGTTTGCATTGTACTTGACTCTATGCGAACAGCGCTGCGCTGCATTGGCTGCAGCTCTGTCGCTTTGAAAATAATTAAATTGCGTGCTCGACGCTTCAAGCATAAACGAGTTAAGAGCAAGTGGAACAGCTGTTGCTGTTGCTGTCTCCTTTTCTTTGCTGAGCTGTTAATTACGGATTATGCCCCTCGCTCAATTGTCGTCTATTTCTATCTCTTTCGCACCACACATGCATGACGGCTGGTGTTGCTGCTGCAGCAAGTGCCAAAAGCAATCAATTTAGTTGACTTCCTCCTTGAGACTTGCCAACGGCATTCGCTTATCCAAGGCCAAAGGGCTTACTGCATAAATTGCACTTTTGTTTCAAATGCAGTCTAATAGTGATTGATCGCTTTTGCATTTGTTCACTTGACTCTTTTGTTTATTGCAATTTTAGCACACTTCAGTAAATTGCTTGTATTGCCAACAACCAATAGGAATTCAGTAAGGGGGCAACGCAGGGCTGGGCAGTAACTGAACAAAATAATAATAATAAAAAGGAAAATAAATGCAA